CAGGAGGGAACAGAAGCCCAGTGGATGTTTCCCGAGAGGTGCTTAGGGGCGGCTGTGGAATGCGGTGGCGACGGCATTCCGAGTTGCGGAGTAGAACGAGGGAGCGCATGGAAATGGAAGTCCAAAATAAATGAAAAGGAAATGGCTTGAAAACAGTCCAGATTAAGGATTGACACGCTGAGTCATCATCAGCCGTCCTTGTTAGGGCTGGACTGCCGCATTGGGTTGGAGCAAATTAGGGATTAAAGGACTGCCGCTTAAAAACAATCGCGTCGAGATTACACTGAGCTGCTGAGGAAACAACTTTGAAATTTGAGTGTGGGAGTACACACCACGTAGGGCCTGATTAACCGAGATCCCAAATAGCGACCGCTCATGGCGTGTTCACACTTAACGGATTGTGTGTGTTGTTGTTTTTCACCGTGGAAAATTTGGAAGAGCGTCTCAAGTGCAAAATGAAGTTAGAAGTGATGGAAGTGGAAGGGTTAGAGTGCGGGGGTCGGCAACCCGCGGCTCAAGAGCCGCATGCGTATAAGAAATAGAGTGGATGGACCATGAATACATTCCTCACCAAAGACGGTGGAGCCGTCTGAGCCGTTGCTGGACGAGTGGTACTCGGGGGCGTCGTAGGAGCTGAGGGTACTGCTGTCGATGGACTGCGAGATGTCGTGGAGCTCCTCCATGCCGCCAATGAAGTCGTCATCGGCGCATAGCGGGCTTCCCAGCATGGAGTCCTCCAGGGGCGAAGGCGGATGGTAGTGACTCTCAACGTCGACCATGGCCGCGTCGTGAGGGAGTGGCGCAGGGTCGGCCCGCGAGCTCACTCCTCAGGCTGGGAGAGACCAAGGACAAAAACAGTCAACATTCCGTCATGCACTTAACAAGGAGCAAAGTGGGTGAAATTGAAAGTGTATTTATGACATTTTTACTAGCGAAAGGGCTGTAGCCAAATACCGATAATCGGGCCTAATTTGAGCAGTTTGTTTTCGAGCCAAAACGCAATATCATCCTCCACACAAAAGCGCTTAGTAATTCGGGAGTCTCAATATGATTTAAGACGTGTTTGTAAGTTTATTGTACAAAAAAATAAATAAAAAAGTTCAAGGAATTAAAAGATGCGTGTCTGTTGTTGGAGTGAAATATTAGAATGATGCATACATCATATTGAAACTCTGTGAACAACTGCCGGTACTTTAAAATCTAAAAGTGATTCACAAAGCAACTTTTGGAAATTGCAACTAATGATTGAATCATAATGAATTGCTTGTGATGTTTATTTTTGGTTTTGTTTTTATGTACATTCGTAAACCACTAGCTTGGGCAAAAATGTTGCTTCCAAGAGTCAAACTCATTTTTGTCGCGGGCCACTTTGGAGTTATGTCTTCCCTTTGAGAGCCGTTATAACAGTGAAACCGAATAAATGTTTAATCATCACATCATATTCTTGTACAAAGAAAAAATGATTACACTACTAGTTTTGAAATCAGTCAACCATATTTTGGTTTTCCTGTTCAATGATTGTTCGAGTGAGTGTAAACGCCCTAAAACTATTGCAAAATCTCAACGTTATTTATTACACGTGACAATTTGACATTTTGGTTCAGATTTTAGCAGCGATCGTGGAAGTTGACACACTTGATTTGCTTTCGCGGGCCACATAAAATGATGTGGCGGGCCGGATCTGGCCCCCGGGCCTTGAGTTTGACACCTATGTTCTTAGAGGAAAAACAAACCTGGCCAGGCTCAAATGAGCTTTTGCTTCCGCCTGTGCCATTCTGCAATCTGTATGATGTTGAGCATTGTGGATGATATTTTATGATGACGGGACTGCGATTGAGTTTTTGCTACCCTGAAAAGTACATGTGACCCCCCAAGAACTGTGCTTTTGCTGACAGTAGCGAGAACAGACGCAGCTCAGGAGTTAGTTAACGAGACATGCAGGAGGAAGAATCTAGGTCACTTGGCCGGCTGGGGCTGCGCTGGGAGAAGGGAACCGAGGGTTTGCGGGCTTGGACACCAGCAGACGAGGGGAGGCAATTTTTCGATGCGCTCCTTCTACCTGGTAGTCAAAACTTGAGACCTCCGCATGTAAACTAGGTCAATCTTTAGTAAGCCCCTTTCATCAGGCCCCGTTAAGTCCATCAAAGACGGGGAAAAATAAGGGGGAAGGGGGCATTAGAGCTGGTGTGGGGGTGGCTACGAAGCGGTCGGATGGCAGCTGCCGCGCGTTCTCGTAGGCAGCTTGAAATTTTTGCACACTGCTCGCCTTGAGTTTAACCTCAACTCGTCTTTGCCACCGCTGCAAAGGACGGTCATGCTTGAAGCGCACGTTCGCTCAGAGCTACCTCTCCCTCTTCAAAAAGAAAGCCCCTATTTGTGAGATATTTACCAGCGCCCCCCGCCCCCCAAAAAACTGTTATAATGTTAATACAATGGAACATGACATGCATTATCCTTCCGTTCAGTCTTGCCATCGATGAAGAAGGCTCGTTCAGATTGGCTAGCTTACACACCATACACATTTCTTCAAAATAGTGCGTTTTGATGTGATTCTATATTTATTTTCAACTACACACCAGTAAAAACAAGCTATACATGACTTTGCTCTGGAGCTGGTACACATTGATTCCGTTTCCATTCATACCAATGAGAAACGTGGCTTTGGTTCCCGAACATTGCGGCAACAAAAAAAATATTCCTATTCCTAAAAAAATAGTGTACCGTGTGATGTTTTCTTGTGCCACTGCACAAACTCCTTCCTAACCCTGAACCGTTGTGTAGCTAGCTAGCTAGAATAGCTAGCTAGCTACACATTATTAATCCCCAATGGGAAAATTCAAGGTGTCCAGTAGCAAAAACAACATTCATACGCCATGCCCAAAAAAAATAATTAAAACAAACAAAGCATGTACCCTAATTCGGGTTCCCGCTGATCTGGAGCCTATGCCAGCTAACTGACATCCTGGACTGGTTGGCAGCCGATCAGGTAAGCATTCACTCTCAGCATTCACACCGATGGCCAATTTCTAGTTTTCAATGAGTCATGTTACAATATGCGGCCCGGTAGTCCAGTGGTTAGCACGTCGACTTCACAGTGCAGAGGTGCCGGGTTCGAATCCAGCTCCGGCCTCCCTGTGTGGAGTTTGCATGTTCTCCCCGGGCCTGCGTGGGTTTTCTCCGGGTACTCCGGTTTCCTCCCACATTCCAAAAACATGCATGGTAGGCTGATTGGCCTGATTAACCGAGATCCCAAATAGCGACCGCTCCTGGCGTGTTCACTCTTAACGGATTGCGTGTGTTGATGTTTTTCACCGTGGAAAATTTGGAAGAGCGTCTCAAGTGCAAAATGAAGTTAGAAGTGATGGAAGTGGAAGGGTTAGAGTGCGGGGGTCGGCAACCCGCGGCTCAAGAGCCGCATGCGTATAAGAAATAGAGTGGATGGACCATGAATACATTCCTCACCAAAGACGGTGGAGCCGTCTGAGCCGTTGCTGGACGAGTGGTACTCGGGGGCGTCGTAGGAGCTGAGGGTACTGCTGTCGCTGGAC